GAGTCAAAGCGTCAGTTGAAGCTTTTGGAATCTATTAGTTGATTTTAAATACTGGACATCATTTAGACCTTTTTCAAACACTTTATGTCCCTTCTGTTTCTTGTAATTTAATTTCATTTTCTAAACTTGATTTTATTGGATACTCTTTCAAATTTTGAAATTATTGTTTCAGTTTGTTTAAACATAATCATCTCATAGGTTCTGGTATTCTTTGTGATGTTCTATATAAGCTTAAACTTGATAACATTATTACTGAAACCTGATGACTTTGCATCATAATATTGGTACAAAATGAGGTTTTATGAATGAAAGTTCAACTTATTTATGACATAAACGTTTGGGTCATATATCCAAAGAAATAATTGAAAGATTAGTAAAGAATGAAATTCTTAATGAATTGCATTTTATTGATGTTGACACCTATGTGAATTGTATTAAAGGAAAACACACAAATCATGCACTTAAGAAAGCCGCAACAAGAAACACACAGCTTCTTAAATTTATACACACTGATATTTGTGGACCTTATGATGTTCCATTTTTTGGTGGAGAGAAATAGTTTATCACCTTTATTAATGATTTTCACGTTATGATTATATCTACTTATTGTATAAAAAATATCAAGCTATAAATGCCTTAAAGGTGTATATAACTGAGATTGAGAGACAATTAGACAAAAAAATGAAAATTATTAGGTCTAATAGAGGTGGTGAATATTATGGAAGTTACAATGAATCTGGACAATTTTCAGGTCCATTTGCTAAATTTCTTCAAACTAATGACATATGTGTACAATACACTATGCTAGGAACACCACAACAAAATGATATTGTAGAAAGGCAAAACTGTACTCTAATGAAAATGATTAGAAGTATGATGAGTAATTTTTCTTTAACTTCATTATTGTGGATGCATGCTTTAAAGACCACTGCATATTTGTTAAACAGGATTCCCAATAAGGCAGTTCCAAAAACTCCTTTTAAACTGTGGATAGGAAGGAAACCTAATTTAAGACACCTGTATGTTTGGGGTTGCCCAGTAGAAATAAGGTTATATAATTCACATGAAAAGAAACTGGACTCAAGAGCAACCAGTGGTTTCTTCATTGGTTATCCAGAAAAATCTAAAGGGTATAGATTTTATTGTCTTAACCACAATACAAGAATTATTGAAGCTGGAAATGACAAGTTCATTGAAAATGATGAAGTTAGTGGGAGTTTGGAACCACATAAAATGAAGATCCAATAAATTAAGGTTCAAGTTCCTTTACCAAAAAAAATTTTCTCAAGTTGTATTCCTATAGTTGTTGAACAGTTTGACAACTTAGAAGAACAACAGATATACGATCAAATACCCCACAATGAAACTATCACTAATGAACCTATATTAGATGAACCACATGAAGTAGTACCTAGAAAGTCTCAACGACAAAAACAGTCTACTATTTTCGATGATTATGTGGTTTATCTACATGAATCTGAATTTGACTTAGGAGTCAATGAAGATCCAGTTTCATTTTCATTAGCCATAAAAAAATGCAAATTCTTCTAAATGGTTAGATGCAATGAAAGATGAGTTGAAATCGATGGATCACAATAAAGTCTGGGATGTCGTTGAATTGTTTGAAGGTTGTAAAAGAGTCGGCTATAAATGAGTCTTTAAGACTAAGCGCGACTTAAATGACAATATTGAACGATATAAAGCCAGGCTAGATTCCAAAGGTTTCACTCAGAAAGATGACATTGACTATAAAGAAACATTTTCTCTAGTTTCTAAGAAATATTCATTTAGAATTATCATGACACTAGTAGCTTATTATGATTTGGAGCTACACTAAATGGATGTGAAAACTATCTTTCTGAATGAGAATTTAGATAAAGAGGTCCACATGAGTCAACCTGAAGGATTTTTTGTTGAAGGAAAGGAACACATGGTGTGTAAACTTAAGAAATCAATATACGGACTTAAGCAAGCTTCCCGACAATCGTATCATAAGTTCAATGATACCATCTTTTTCTTTGGATTTAAATAAAACACTGTTGATCGGTGTATATATCTAAAGGTCAGTGGGTGCAATATCATATTTCTCATTTTATATGTTGATGACATCTTGTTGGCTACTAATAATCTTGGCTTATTATATGAAACCAAACATTTTCTCTCTAAGAACTTTAAAATGAAAGATATGAGTGAGTCATCATATGTTATTGGAATTAAAATATTTAGTGATAGATCACAAGGATTGTTAGGGTTGTCTCAGAAAACATATATCAAAAGAGTTCTTAATAGATTTAATATGGTAGGGTGCTCAGCAAGTATTTCTCCAATTAAAAAATGAGATAAATTTAGCCTTATGCATTGTCCAAAGAATGATTTAGAAAGTAAACAAATGGAAGAAATTCCTTATGCATATATTGTTAGAATCTTAATGTATGCTCAGACTTGTATCAGACCAGACATTAGCTTTGTTGAAGGAATGCTGGGCAGGATCAAAGTAATCCGAGAATAGATCATTAGAAAGCTGCAAAGAAAGTTTTGAGGTATCTGCAAGAAATAAATGACCACATACTCACTTATAGAAGATCTAAAAATCTTGAAGTGATAAAATATGCAGATTTAGATGTTGCTGGATGTGTTGATATAAGAAAATCAACATTTGGCTATCTGTTCCTTCCAGCTGAAGGACCAATCTCATAGAAAAGTACGAAGCAGACTATCACAACTGCTTCCACAACGAAAGTTGAATTTGTGGCTCACTTTGAAGCTACAATTTTATTTCAAGACTTGGAATTGTCGACATATTGCCAAGCCGCTGAAAATTTATTGTGATAACTTCGCAGCAGTCTTCTTTTGTAAATACAACAAGTATTTTAAAGGTGCTAAACACATGTAATTAAAATGTCTTGTCTTTAAGAAAGAAATTCAGAAATATAGGGTATTAATTGGGCATATTGACACAAATCTCATAATTGCATATCATTTGACAAAAGGGTTGCCACCGAAGACATTTAACAAATATGTCGTGAGGATGAGCATTACCAAAACCCTTTATTAGTTTTATGTTGTTTGTATTTTGACACTTTGGGCTCAATTTTCATGTTTCTGATATTTATAAATCTTGTTTTTATAGTTACTGTACACTTTATGTTGCACGATGTTCAACAAAATTTGTCTTTTAATATACATTATGAAACCATGATGTTAATTCTCATTATGCTGAGTATGTAATTGATATTGTGATACATGAAAGGGACTGTATCAATAAATTAATGCACAACCGTCCGTGATTCATATTAATTTCATACTTATTAAATAATTTATGATTTAACCAATATAAAGAAGGATTTATCTTACATTTTATGCACTATTAAAGTTAAGTGAGCCAAGTGAGAAAATGTTAAAAAAAAATTTTATGACTCATATTTATTTTAATAACTTATGAGTTTTATTTTGATAAATTAAGTTATTTATTTTATTAAATCATAACTTATGTCATAATAAATGACAACTTAAGTTATTTATTTTTATAACTCACAAAAACTTAGGTTATTTATTTTCTTAACTCATAACTTATATTATTTATTTTTAAACTCATGATAACTTAAGTTATTTATTTTCTTAACTCATAACTTATGTCATAACTTATGATATTTATTTTTATAACTCATGATAACTTAAGTTGTTAATTTTCTTAACTCATAGCTTATGTCATAACTAGTGATAACTTATGATGTTTATTTTTGTAACTCATGTAATTCCTAAAATGAATTGGGGTTACTAACTTATGTCATTGATTTAATAATAAAAATTAATTAATTTACTAAATTATCATAAATCCTATTGGTTAGTAACCCCCTTGATGGATGGTGGTTAAATAAAACATAATTCAGATAATGAGTAATCTCTCTTCCTAACACACCCCGTACATTTCCCTCCATCAGAAAATACAGAAAATTTTCAAGGGATTAGAGAGAGAAACTCCATCTCTTTAAGATCAAATTTTATTATCATGAATACATGTATGTGTTAGTTTATTATAGATATGTAAAAAACATAAATTTAAAAGATCTTGACAATTGTGTATTTTTAGAATTTGTGTCATGATCGTTAAACATGAATTTCTAACAATTTGTATGCTGAGCTCTTAAACAAAAATGTAAATAAATACTAATAAAATCAATATAATCTAATGAACATGAGTTTGGACCAACCACAGAGAGAAAAATTCTCGGCGGCTCCTAAACTTTGATCTTAAAATAACAAAATCTATTTGTCCAACAAAGCAATTTGCTTTGCTTTAAATAATTTCAAACTGGCTACTGCTTTCATTCTACAACCCCTGTTTCATGCTTGTGAAGGAACAATTTTTTGCATTTTTTAAACACTCCATGTATGATCACTATGGGCGATTGAAAACTCAAATCGATCAACCCAGCTAAAAAAGTCAGTTTTCTGATTTTTTTTCTTTTTTTAGTAAATTTTCATGTCTTCTTGTATTAAGAGTGATTTTTTTGTACTAATTAAATAATTGGAGTTACTATTTTTTGTGGGATGTATTGTATACACATCTTAGAACAATCCTATGCTCAAATTTCTCTAAAACTTCAGCAATAAGTATTTAAATAACTGTTATAGCTTTTTTTGCTTGGCTCCTAATCTATATTTTTCTTTAATTATTATTGGTTCTTGATATTCCCATTCACTTAAAATTTTAGAAAATATTAATTTATTGAAACTAATTATATGAGTGTAACCCAAATCACCTCCAAATTAAACTCTAAATAGATAATTAACACCACTTGAACACCTAATCACATCAAGATAATTGAATATCATATCCACAATAATTAAAAGCATAATCAACCATAAAATACTATCTCTTCTTTGTATTTTCTCATTCACAAGTTTGCAATATTCACAGAACTTCACCCAAAAGACAAAATATATTAATATAGAGGACTTAAAAAGCTGAAATACCAAAAACAAGGCCAAAGACATCATTTTTAATAGAAATATAATCTTCTATATTCATTATCTCATCCTTCATATCCCCACACAATCCTACATCATAAAATTCTGATATTTTTATATATATAACTTTATATAAAAACATCTTTTTCTCAGCATCTCTATTGCAAGAAGAAGCAGACAGCTGAACAATCATCCACCGCAGAAGAAGGAAATTTACGCCTCCATGCCTTAGTTGCTGCTTCCACCACCATCTTCGCCGCCTCCCCGCTGCTCATCTCCTCAGCAGACGCCACCATTGTCACAACTTCCTCATTGGTCAGCACATCCCACACCTGAAATATTACACTAAAACCACTGAATTCATCCTACGAATATACATTTTTACGTCCTCTTCAATTAAAGTTACGATTTTGAAAGTTTACATTGTAAAAAGTTATGATTTTGAGTTCATATAAGATGTAATTTACTGAATTCATTCTGCGAATATATAGCTTTACGTCCCCTTCAATCGAAGTTGTGATTTTGAAATTGTACATTGTAAAAAGTTATGATTTTGAGTTCATACAAGATGGAATCTGTAAATTCTGAACACATAAGAGCGGTATAAGGGAAGTTTTCATATAAAGTCTTAGTGAATGTATATGTACGCACCCCATCGGTGGCGAGGACAATGAAGAGATCGGCGGGAGGGTTCAGGCGGTGGTGGGAGATCTCCGGGACGGCAATGAGACCGTAGTTCTTGAGCTGGAAATCTCCGAAGGCACGGGCCATTGATAAGCCGGAGCTGTTGCCGTCCGGCATCCATATGCGCTGTATGTTCGGCTCGTCTTCCATGGCAAATACTCGCCCATTGCTGCTTCTTATTCGCTCCGCTTCCTCTGCGTACAATGCATATAAGAATTTAAAGATTTAACATCTAAAACTTCAATTTTTACATGTATATCATCATAAAAATATATATTTTAATTTTTAAAATGAATAATTACATAGAGAAACAATAATATTTAGAAATTAAATGATCATTTGATTTTTTTATTAAATTATTTAGAATTTTGTGAAAATGAAAAATGTGAGTTGAGGTTTTACATTAAATTTTGATATTTGAGTGATAATTTGAAAAATCGATAAAAGATAGTGGTTGATTTGTAAATAGCAAGTTTTGGGTGATTTGTGTGTATTCTCCTCTTTTTATAAATAAAAATTGTGATATTTTTTATGTGATATAAAAGTTTTGGATCATACAAATATAAGAGAAGAATTTAGAAAATAAATGAAAAAAAGTGGTAGATTTCTAAATAACAAGTTTCACATGGCCTCTATGCAATTGACCCCTAAGTGATATAAAAGATTTGAAAGGTACAAATATAAAATATTTCCCTTATAAGATATCAAAACAAATCTCTAAATTGAATGCAAAAATTTTCCTATAATATCAATTGAAAATGAATAAGTAGAAATAAAACTAAAATACACTTCAAATTTTATAAATTGAACTCTGATAATTCAAATTAAGGGTCCGTTTGGGACAACTTATTTGGTGTGTTGGTGTTTTGAAAACGCACCTGACCTGTTTGGGTAAATTGTGTTTTGGCAGCTTATGTGTTTTCAAAACGCATAAACAACGTTTTCACACCGCACCAATCTAGGTGCGGTAACAACTTATTGACAACAATCTGACTTTTTCAAAAAATAAAAATTTGTAATAGCCACACCTAACTTATCAGCAGATTATTTTTAATCAGATTATCAGCAAATTATTCAATAAGCTACCGCTATCCCAAACAGACTCTAAATCATAAGTTCAGACTCGTTTTATATCAAAACTTGTAAAGTGTGTACGTACGTGGCACGCTGGGCTTGAGGTCAATCGTGAGCTGGACTGCCTTCAGTCGACCTTCTTTAGTCAAAGTCCCCAAAACCGCTCTGGAATCCCCAAGATTTGCGACAATTACATCTTCGCCCTACAATAAAAAACAAATTCTCATTTGCAATTTCATACCTGACATCTAAACTTCCATTTTTCCATAAAAGCCATGGCTTTTTCAAAAGTTAAATTTATGATATTTACATTTTCAGGTGTCATAAAAGCTTAGGTGAAATAAATGTAAAAAATAAAATGTCATTGTTTGATTGGTAAATTAATAGGTTTTAGGTGGTATGAATGTAAATGCCCTCCAATCTCCATGAATCTCCATGGCTCGTGTTCGTCGTGTTCGAAATTGGCTTGTGTTCGAAATTAACTCGTGAACAGTGTGTTTGTGTTCGGCTCGATTTAAATATTTGTGTTAGTGTTTGGCTCGAAATTGACTCGTTAAAATTAAATTGAATAAAATAGATGTAAACTATTGGATTCAAACCTATACCAAATATATACAAAAGAAGACATTAACCACATTATCATGCGAGTTGTTATAATTTAAACATAGATATAAATATATGTAATACATTATTATATAAATAATATATGAAATATATTATTATATAAATAATTATATAATTTTTTTTTTATTTCGAGCTAGAACGAGCCGAACACGAGCGAACAAAGAGTTATTTGTGTTTGGCTCATTTATAACTCGAGCTTTAAAAACTTATTAAGTAAACGAGCCGAACATGAACTACTTAACAGCCGAACACGAACAACTAGCTTTTTTGACAGCCCTATCCATGAAAAAGAGAATTTACATTCATACCACACAATATTTACATATTTACATATCTACATATCTAATACATGAAATTTTATACTTACATCAAAACACTCAATTATCAAACACATTTTTTTTCTTAATTTACATACAATTCTTATTTATTTATATATCTCACACCAAAATATTCATCTTTACACAGATAAGGCTTAAAAACGGCACAGCTGCCATTTTCTAAAAGTGGATACACATTTTCTTGCTTGAATTTAAAAGACCAAAGTATTATATATGTAAATATGAAAGTTTAGGCGTAAATACATGAGAATTATGCGCAACACTTCTAAATTTCCATAAATTTATCAATGTAAAGGGACTAAATAGCAAAAAAGCCAATTAAAGACCTGTTTGATAATTGTAACAGCAGTCGTGCCACTATAAGAGCAGTCCATGTGGGTGAGGAGCTTAAGCTCCCCGTCCATGGCCTTGAAAGCATTGATGCTCGCCTCCTTCCACTCCTCCACCAACTCTAATGAGCCAATCCGATAATTTTCGCCTTCTTTCGAGCATTTCTCGACATCGCGGTGGCCGGCGAGGGCGAAATTCGCTATAACGTTTCGATGGCTGAGTAACAAAGAAGGAAGATAGTCTCTCACGACTCTGCTTACTATGTGCCCGTTCTTGCCATGACCATCAAAGACTCCGCAGAAGACTCCATCCTCCGCTCCATAACCCTAAATTTGTTTACGGATCAAAATTTCGATAAAACTAGACCAGTTGAATCAAAATTTAATTCGGTTTAAATGATTGGGTCATAAATAAACTGAAGTTTAATTCTTTGTTGGAATTTGATTATGAACAAACATTAATTATGAATTATAACATCAATTTAATGTCATGAATCATATATTTATCTTAATCAAATGTTGCATATATGATAAACTTTGGTCCATTAATGCCACATTATCTCTTCATGAAAATGTGTATTTTACATTTTAAAGGTTAAAATGCTGATATTTTTAATGAAATATGAATGATTTGAGCTTTAAAAGAAGAAAAACTAATATTTGATGGATATAATAAATTAATCCAATAAATAATGGTTAAGAAGAGAATATGCAAAGTAAAATATAAAAAAGAAAGAAAATGGAGTAGAGAGAGAATATGAATTGTTGAAAGAGAAGAAGGACCTGACAGAGAATGGCAGAGTCTTGGTTAGGGCCCTTCCTTCCTTGTCTTGAGTAGAGAGAAGATAGCCTCCTTATCCCACCTCCATTAACGCAGTCTGAAGCTTGCTTTCCACCCACATATACTATGTTTTCCTCACTCTCATCCTTCCATGTCCATGAAGAAGAATAGCAGATTCCCATATCTTCTTTACACCCACAGAGAAATAGTAGAGAGAGAGAGGAAGCTAGGGGCTGTTTAGAGAGATAACCATCATTGATTCAGCGCATATATATATATATATATATATAATATATATATATAAACAAAGAAATGAAGAGAGACTATTATACGACCCTCTAGTCGTTCTTAATGTGCCTATGAATTCGAGTACTAACTGCTTGAGGCCAGCTATGTAAGAAATGATTCAAACCCTTAACCTGAGGGGTCTTATACCGTGGATGCCAACCAACAAGTACTCGCCACTATATATGTATAAATATAAAGATGAAACGCAAAAAGTGTTTGTTTACCTCATATGTGCTAATTCGAGCCACATGGAATCGAACCTAGGACCGAGAGGACTCACGTTGAAGCTGCCAACCAACATGCCACCAATTGCTAGAGAGAGAAAAAAACGGACGCCTGCATGCATAAAAAAGATTTTGAAAAGTGATTTAAAATTTTAATATGAACTTGATTTGACTCGAATTTTACTAATCTTTATATCAGTGACTATGAAATTGTTGAAATTGAAGTTCCTATTAAATTTTAATTGAAATTTGAATATTTATTGAACGAAAAATTATATTGATATTGATGTCAAATAATTTATATATATATATATACCTTTCCTTATTTCAGAGTGTTGTATAAACATATATATATCTGTGTGTGTGTGTGTGTGTGTGTGTGCGCGTGTGCGTGTGCGTGTGCGTGTGCGTGTGCGTGTGCGTGTGTGTGTGTGTGTGTGAGAGAATCATAAGATTTAAAATAATGGAGTTGGTGATTTTGATTATATTTTAAGCTATAATTTTAATATAAAAAACAATGGTGTAGTTGTCATAGACTAAAAAAAATGTAATAATTTAGACAAAAAAAACCTACCCTACCTTCCCAACTTCAATAAACTATGTTAGTGACTAAGTACGTATCCCATAATCCGGACAAGTGTAACCATGAGCTTATAGTCTACTTTACAATCACCGACCATAATAAAAAAATAAATAAATAAATACAAATTTATAATGATGTTTTTTGATTAGTTTTGCATGCCTATCGTCATTGCCTATTATTTAATTATATCTTAACAATAAATTAATTACAATAAAAATATATATTTTTTTATTTTTGATGTTTTGTGGTCGATGTTGATCAACAGTGTTTAGTTATATCTTATCGTCATGTTTACATCCAATCCATACAAATATATTTAATTGATGCTTTAAAGAGCGTAAAATAATTACAATAAAAGTTAGGGGAAATAATATAAAAAATATAAAATTAAGCTCATGCTTTCCTCTTACAAACCCCCTTTTATTCTTCTTCAAATTCAGGGTTCGTTTGGGGGCAGCTTATAAGTGCGGGCGGCGTTTCGTACCGTTTGGTTCGCGCGTTTCGCCAGCTTATCCGAAACTTCGTTTGAGTTTTTACACTAAATGCAGGCCGCGGGTTGACCCCTGCGGCCGGCCAGCTGACCGCGTTTTAAGATAAACAGCTTATCCTGAAACGCACAAGCTGGCCCAAACGGACCCTCAAGCCTCTTTGAATCACTCAAACGGCTTTCTTTAAGAATAAATGCAACATTCCTAATAATATAACCACAAAAACTCTCTTTTCGTACCCTCTAAAACAAGTAAATATTACATGCGACGATCGCTCGTCTGGATGGGCCGCCATGTGATACATGAGAATGTGGTCGTATCCGGACCGCCATACATACTTTCAAACCCCTCGTCAGAAAGACCCTTCAGGACCCATCCCCAAGAATTCCTTGAATAAGAATACATCATTAACATAGAAGTATGGTAAGGTTTAATGTTCGATTTAGGTTAAATTTGGGGTTGGTAACCTAGCTAGGGTGCCAAGCTCTAATCGGTTGTGGGGGTACTAACAGAATTACCTTTCAAGTCTTTAGTTTTAGATCTACTTAAACTAATTGCTTTAGACTTTATTATCAGCCTCCAGAATTTAAGTTTTTCCAAAAATCTTTCTCTAGTCATATCCACGAGAAAGATATCACTCCCGAAAAATATACACTAAGGTTCATCCTCCTATAATTGTACAGCTAAAACATCCATAAATAAAACAAAAACATGTGTACTTAAACCCGATCCCTGATGTAATTAGGGTTGTTAATGATCTGATTTCGTGCTGATCTGAGGTCGGTTCAAATCAGCTTAACAAAATTCAATCCAAAATTTTAGCCAAAGCTCGACTAGTTAATTTCGATCCAAGCCAAAATTCAAATCATTTTTTAAGCGATTAATGATTTTTGAGCTAAAATCGCTGTATTCATTATCATATATTGTTAATGATCCGATTTCGAGTAGACATGGGGTGGTCGGCTCTAAATCGGTTCGAAAAAAAATTCGATCAAAAAATTTGGCTTGCAGCTCAGCTCGTTTATTTCTATCCGATCTTGATCAAAGCCAAAATTCAAATAAATCTTTGAGTGATTAACGAAATTCGAGCTAAATTTAATGCTCTAGATGTAATCCAACTGAAATTGGAAAATATCTGACAAACCTCATACTTGCTAAACTGTAAACCCTAAACATATTCTTCAAAATAAATAAAAATAAAACAAAAATAGTAGAGGAGGGGAAGGAGGAGAAAAATGAGAGATTTTGGTCACTCTAAGCCGCGGTCTCTCGCTCTGTTCCCAGCTAGCTCCTATTTCAACTATATATCACGTGGGTTTTGGGGATGAAGGTGATGGTTTTAGACAGAACTTAGAGGGACATGTGAGGGTTTCTGAGAGAGGCGAGGGCTTCAGGTAGAGAAGATGAGAAGCCGGGAGGAGAGATTAAGGTAAGACCGGGAGGGAAGTGATTTTGGGTGAGATATAAAATTAGTTCTGACGGCTTATAAAAGACTTTAATTGCATCGATTATTAACACAGTTATCAAGAGTAGTTCCCACCACTTAATAATAAAATACATCGATTAAAATCCTATCAGATGACGGGTTCAAATATAATCATCAAACTATAGCATATTCGTTAATATTTGCTTATAATCGATATGCTATTCCATTGATTATAATTAAAACTAGTTGTGAAATAAAATACTATTGATAAGAGATATTATATGAATTAGTTATGGTGTTGCAAATAACCAAGTTAAAAAAACAATCGCAAAACTATTGGCAATTAGAAATTTTTTTTTTGACGTATAACAAACTGTAATTTTTTCCGTTGGTTCTACAGTTTTTTTCTATAGTCATTAGGGTTTTTCTCATGACTTTAGAAAAGGAAATAAGATTGGTCGGTTCAGCTGATTCAATCATGAAACGATCATTCAATTTGGTTTAAGCGCAGAACCGTTTCGACATAGGAGAGCGATTGAAGAACTGATTCAATTTTTAAAGAAACCGCTTGTTCAAATATTATTCAATTCTAACATTTTAATTTTGATTCAATGACAAACAATATGATATGTAAACTTAAAATAAATAGAATATCGTTTCATAAATTTTTATTTAGAGCACTATTAAAAATATTATTTTAGATGAAAATATTATTTATTAAATTAATAAAAAAATATTATTATTATTATTATTATTTTACTTTCTACTTTTTATGAGCTAGGGTTTGCTCGCTAGTAGCCGTTCTTCTTTTGATCCGTGCAATTTTCGCATAACACTCGATTGAGCTTTGGTCATCCACCATGAGCGAGGCATTCGAAAGATACGAACGGCAATATTGCGAAATCTCCGCTTCTCTCTCGCGCAAATGCGTGGCGGCCGCCGCTATGGATGGAGGTGATCAATCCAGCCATGCAATTTCAACTTTGAATCGCTCATTACTGTGTTTTTAATTTATGGATGAAATCAATCCTTCTTTGAATCTCTCAGAACAAAAGAAGCAGAAGATCTCAGAGGCGAAGTCTGGTCTAGATGATGCTGCAATCTTGGTAACTGATTTAATACTGTTCTGAAGGTATGTGGAATCTCCATTCTTGTTCTATACGCATATTTTGTTGAAAGAACTTTGTCTTGATTTATGTAGATCCGAAAAATGGATCTTGAGGCTAGAAGCTTGCAGCCGAGTGTGAAGGCAGCATTGCTAGCGAAGCTGCGGGAATACAAATCTGATCTGAATAACCTAAAGAGCGAAGTTAAAAGAATCAGTTCGCCTGATGCGAAGAATGCTGCAAGAGAGGAGCTGTTGGAATCTGGGATTGCAGATGCGAAAAGTGTATGATTTTGCTTGCCCATTATTCTCAAGTCTCATAGTTATTACATACATACTACTAAAATCCAATGTATTCACATATCTAAAATCTAAACTGCTAAATGTAACCCGAATTTTGTGTGCCCCGTTTATCATCTCATAAGAAAATTATGACCACGAGGATATAATTTTTAGAAGAGAACTGAGAGCATGCGGATTAAGGCTTTAGAAGGAAATTATAATCACGAGGATTTTAAAGTTTTGACCATCAAACTTATAATAGCCTTTAGATTGCAATCTGTGTGTTACTTTATTGATTTTCTTTTAATTTTTTTTTTTAAAGGAGCCTTGCTAAAAGTGGAGGATTGCGTTAGGTAGTTGACAACCAGCGTAAAACTTGTCGAAAAAATCATGACATGAATCATTTTGATCTTTGTGTAAGTGCTAGGGCGTCACCTGACAGCGACGCGCTGTATAGCCTGAATACAGTGAAAAGTGTGCAAGGGCCGCTACACCGGCGCCCGGGCGTAGTGTTAAATAAGCAAGTGTTCCCACATTATGGGCGAATGCGGGTAAAAAAGTTTGTCCATGAAACCAATGAAACTAATATTTGGATAAGATCTTGGAATATAGGTACTCTCAATGATAAATTAATGAAATTAGTTGATATAATGATTCATAGAAAAATTAATATCTTATGCATTCAAGAAACTAAGTGAGTTAGATAAAAAACTAATGAGATTGATAATTTAGGTTTTAAACTTTAGTATTCTGGTAAGAGTCGCACTAAAAATGGTGTAGGTGTAATTATAAATAAGAGTTTGAAAGATAATGCTGTAAAAATTAATAGAGTTGGAGATAGAATTATAACCCTTAAGATTATCATTGATACTAAGATTTTTAATATTTTAAGTACTTATGCTCCTCAAATAGGTTTAGATACAGGGTCTAAAGATAAATTTTGGAATAACTTAGAAGTCTTAATACAAATGATACCTCTTGAAGAAAGAATTTTTATTGGAGGAGATTTAAATGGACATGTCGGTAGAGTGGTAGAAGACTTCAGAAATACTCATGGTGGCTATGGTTTTGGAGTAACTAATGAAGAAGGTAGAGCTATTTTAGATTTTGCTTTAGCAGATTTTGTTATTACTAATACTTTATTCAAGAAAAGAGATGAGCATCTTATTACTTATAAGTATGAACCTAATAAAACAGAAATTGATTATTTTCTTATGAGAAGAAGTGATCGTCGCGATTGTAAAGATTGTAAGGTCATTCCAAGCAAAAATTTAAGTACCCAACATCGTTTATTAACTCTAGATTTTAATATTAAGAGTTGTAAAGTAAAGAATACTAGGACTCAGCATCGCATAATTAGATGGAAAAACTTAAAAGACACAAATAAAATTATTTTTATGAGTAAAATTCAACATTTCAAAATTTGGGATATTCATGAAGAAATAAATGTTATGTGGTATAAAATAATAAACACTATTAAGCAAGTAACAAAAGATGTGCTTGGAGAATCAAAAGAAATTTTTTTTATAAATAACAATAGTTGGTTGTGGAATAATAATGTGCAAGAGAAGATAAAATATAAGAAACTATGTTATAAAAATTAGTTTAAATGTAAAAACTTAGAGAACAAGAAAAGATATCAAATGACCCGCAAAGAGTCTAAAAGAAAAATCCGTGACGCTAAAAATTCTGCTTTTAATAATTTTTATAATATATTAGATTCTAAGGAGGGTGAAAAATATATGTATAAACTAGCATATATGTATAAACTAGCCTATGTATAAACTAGCCAAACAAAGAGAAAAGAAAAGTAAAGATGTAACACAAGTAAAGTGTATTAAAGATAAAAATCAAAAAACACTTTTCTTAGAAAAAGATATTCAACATAAATGGGTGAGTTACTTTGATAAACTTTTTAATGAAGTTTCTGAAAATACGATTGACCTTAGGATCTTAATATCGTGAATAATAATAAAACGTTTCATTTTTACCGGCGCATTAGTAAAAAAGAAGCTGAGGAGGCTTTAAAGAAAACCAAGGGTGGAAAGTCTATAGGACCTAATGATATCCCAATTGAAGTGTGGAAATATTTGGGAGATTTGAGAGTTTCTTGACTTACTAAACTCTTTAATATTATTTTAAAACCTAAAAAGATGCCTGAGGAGTGGATGAAGAGTATTTTGGTCCCCATTTTTAAGAATAAAGGGGATGCACAAGAGTGTGCAAATTATAAAGGAATTAAGTTGATGTGTCATACTTTAAAGTTATGGGAGAGGGTAATTAAATATAGGTTAAGACACATCACAAAGATTTCTCATAATCAATTTGAATTTATGTCGGGCGGGACTATTATGGAAGCTATACATTTATTGAGAGGTTTAATTGAGAAGTTCAGAGATAATAAGGAGAATCTATATTTGATTTTTATTGATTTAGAAAAATCTTACGATAAGGTTCCAAGAGATATCCTTTAGA